ACTTCATTTGCTTTCCTAAGAAACTACTTTGATATTAAGGGAAACTCCTGAGCTAGGATTGGAATTTAAACTCCCATAGGGTATTTAATCTTGCGCCCTAAAAGACCAGCAGCTTGTTTGATTCTGAGGTCAACTGTATTACTGGGCATCAAACTGGCTTTAATAATTTCAGTGTTATTTCTCAATGTAAAATTATTTTTTTTTTTTAGTTTTTGCAGCTTCAGTAATGATTTTGAGCTGTTATGCACTGTGATTACAGAGTGGCTGATGATGGCTGTGTTCAGAGTTTCCCATTAAAAAAAATCCTACATATATTAATAATAGTTTTCTCTCTCACCAGTTCTGCATTTTAAATGCAAAAATTTTTTTATTGTAAATATGAAACCATACATGGTTTCTTTCTTGTAACACAGCTGTAGTTGGCTCCCTAGAGTATTTCTCTGAGCAGAGTTTCCCAAGGGAATGGTAGTACATGGGTGCTTTGAGGGTGAAGAGATTTCTCCTTCCACCCTCCCTTTCTTGATAACGATTCAGTGGAAATATCTGTGTAAAGAAGGTACTATATATATGTGTGTATGTTTAAAAATAATTTAAGCTTGTGTGTTACATAATGTGTTTTGATGAGATTTTGATAGACACTGCCTATCTGTTTGTGAAGCAAAGGCATAATTCGAGTGCACTAGGGCCTGATTTAGTGTTTGCTGAGGTCAGCAGAGAGCTTCCGCTGCATTTTGAAGGGATCTGGTTCTGGTGCACAAAGAGGGAAAGTTCACCCGCAAGACTATTGAGTTGTGCTTGGGATAGAAGGAATAGAAACTGCATGCTGGAATGTGGTACTTGCCTTTAAGCACCTGGAGGACATGATGATCCAATAGAACTAGAAACAAATATATTCTTGCGCTTTTTGCAATTTCAATTTCCGTGTTGTATGAGAAAATGGTAGCCCATTAAACTCATTGCTTCATCTGTGAGCCACTTTTCCTCTACTTGCTTTAAAATGCTGCAACAGTTTCAGCACAAAAGATACCTATTTGCCTCCTGGGTTTCTCAAACCCTTCCATGTATGATTTTTACCTGATATGTTTCTTTTAAATTTCCCCCTCCGGTAGACCAGGTGGTGGGAAGTGTAAGCTGGGAGCATTTAAGAAACTGGTGCAGTATAAACGCATCTACAAATATATGCTTGCTCTGAAATCTGGCTCAATTTAACCAAAAAACCACCTCAGCGAAGATGTCCTCTTTGGTGTTTAACATCAGAGCCTTGTGATGACAAGTGAAGGTATGAACACTAAATGTAAACATCACCTCTCCTCCCCTTGCTTTAGGCACTAAGAAGTGCCATTGTCTTAATGTATAAAATTCTTATGTTTAATGTGGCAGATGAGTTTAATTTTGAGACAGAAATATGGCTGCTTTTTGTTATAGGCATACATTGATTTCATTTATTTTTGCGTGTAAAACAGAGATGCGAATTTCATCAGGTACCATACCCTTTGGGTTTGTTTAATTGGACTTGCTGTATGCAAAGGACTGACAGGTAAATACATGAAGGATTCACACTGAATACTAGTTTCTTAGTATTGACTCCCAGTTTATTATGGTCAAGTAATATGTAAGAAAACTTACTTTTAGTTGATGAGTGAGGGATTATATTCTGACCTGCCCGTTGATCGGTGCTTATCAGTTCCTTAGCTGACAATAGATATGCTCCAATATTTCGCATTCTATGCTACTGCACAAATAATAATAGTATTACCAATTCTCACAAATTATGAATATTACCCAATTGCCGATGGCTCTTCTGTTTTCCTAGTCTTTTCCCTGGAAAGCTCTTTTTTGCTGCCATAGGTCCCTGCATGCCTCCCTACAATCCTTCTGCTCTCCAGTAGGCTTCTGTCAGTGTTGCTGGATTAACAGGATAATTTGCTTTCCTGGCATGTTTTCCTTGTCCATAGGGACAGGCTGCTCAAAAGAAGAAGACACATAACCTGGTGCATCAAGATGCAGAAACTAGTAACTATCATTAGTTCTGAGTTTGAACCTCCCGGCGCCGTACTGCACAATCTTCAAGAATACCAAGATTGATGTGCCTGTTGCTAGTTTAACATGCCAGCCTAGCCTGCTTCCAAACTGAGTTGTAGCATTATTATCCTTCAGTGACAGATATGTGCAGTGATGGTGATCTTTGACCTGCATAAAATAAGTCAAAGGAACAAAGCGAAACTTCAAAGAACATGAGTGTGCCCAACACTTCCAAGCTTATGAGAACAATATACTGTTAGCGTGAGTATTGTGGAGATTTGTTTCATCTGTACCTTAGCATGTTTCTGTAATGAGAAATCAGACAACCCTTTTAATTGTGGAGCTGGAATTTCTTTCCTTTTTCTTTGTTTTTCTCAGAAATCAATCCTATGCTTTGATTTTCTTTTACATTTTGCATATCACATACGCCGATTTATCACAAAAATGTATGTTGCATATGCAACTAGTAAAGGGCAGTTATGGTCCTGTTTATGACAGAACAAGTCACTTGAGCCAGCTGCAGTAAAATTTCCTGATTCAGACTAATGATCAGGAGAGTGATTGCAAATTCCAGAATTTTCTGATGTAGGGAGCCAGCGAACAGCTATAAACTCCACAACAAATGCATCCTATAGTGTACTTTGTTCATTTATTTCATACCGTAAGGATAGCTTTGTTTTAATTATTTATGATGATAAAGCTCTGAGTAAAGGCATTCTGCTATATTTTGTAATGATAATGAAACTTGAGTGATGCAGAGGCCTCTCCACAACATCTTGATCTTAAACGTGTCTTGCAAACAAACTCAGGAGTTGGTCACATGCTCTTTTAGAGTTTTTTTGCTAAAAGTAGGGTTTAAAACGTTGTTTTTTCCTTCACTCAAATCTTTCTCTTCCCCTCATGATAAAACTGGGGCCTAATGCTGTTTCATGTATCGGAAATTCACACTGTTAAAAAAAAGCTCTTAATTAAGGCTTAGTATCCTGCACTTTTTAATGTATGAGAACTCTTGGAAAGCATCTTATAGAACCTTTCCAAACATTCTCAGCAAATTTATAGGGAGCATCACAAATTTTGGCCACTGGCTGCCTTTATTATCATGCTGAGGGGAAAAAAAGAGGAGTCAGAAATACAATTAAAAAGGCCTTTGCAAGTGACCTATAAAGTCTTTATGTGAAAATTATGGCAGATGCAACTCAGGCTCTACAGTAGTTCATTTCTAGTGGCGTGATTTTTTTTCTCTCACTGGTGATCTATTTAAGCAAAAGCTATTGAAGCAAAAGGCATTTCCTGGGGAATTAATGATCGGATGGGAGGAGTTGATAACGTAAAGTACAAGTGAGGGCCATCTATCCCAGCCCATCATTAGTCTCCAGAAAATGCCCTGTACTGAGGTCACTGATTTACTGATTTTTTTTTACTTTTTTTTTTTTTTTTTTTTAAGTAAAAAGGATAAAGAGCAGTACCAATTTGCTGTCTGCAATGTTTTTAACGATGCTCAAATATTGTGCTTACATTTAATCTGTTTTAATCTGGTAGATTGACAGGATGACATACTATGCAGCACTTAAGAACTTGATAAATAATACTGTATGGAGCATTTATCAAGAATTAATGCCTCTCTACTAACCAGTTGGAATATTTTACAATTTGTTAGTATTTTATTAATTTGGTAATTATTAGCCTCCTGAGTGCTAAAGTTGAAGCCTGTCTTTCCTGGTGGTGACTGTGGTGGTATTACAACTAGAAAGGCACAAACATTATAAATAGGCTATTAATGGTAACATTCAGTTGAGGTTTTAGCCCTTACAACATGATACGTTATGGGTGTATTTTCCGGTAGGTAGTGCAAATAGAGGCTGTAATAGTACCTCCTTATCATTAAAAAGGGAAGTTAATTGAGTTGTAGGTGATGGGACTAAGACATGGGCAATGGGAAGTGGTTCCACTCCCGCTGCTGCCTCTGGTTCATCCTGTGGCTGTGAGCAAGCCCTTTAATCTCTCCATGCCTCAGTTTCTCAATTCGGAATGCACGTTGCTAATAGCAATTAACTGCTTAACCAGTATTTGCACGTTGTTCTGAATTAATAGCTGTCAGGAAAGACTTTGTTCCCTGTTTTTGTTACCAAATTTGTAAATACTAACAATGGAAAAAACCAAGTGATTTATCCGATAAATCACAGGTCCTCATTGTTCGGTGTGGCGGGCAGTCCTATCTTCTCCCTTTGCCTGATGATTTCTGTCAGCATTATGAGATGGAGACCTGTAAAATATTAAATCCTCTAGATCAGATCTGTCTACAAAATCCTATTTAGGCTGATGCTCTGATATGATTGTGCTGTAATCCAGTGAATTAACAGGACGATTTTTAAAAAGTGGGCAAACTGTATTTTATTCAAGGAAATACTTAAGCCTGAATCTGTGCAGAACTGAGGAATGTAGTTGGTACAGTTTCCTGGTGAAGGTTCATCCTTAACAAGTTGACCTGGCAGAGACCCGTGAGATCAGTAAGTATTGATAGACCTGCTGCCCATGAGGGCAAGCTGAGGTCTGGAGGGACCAAGACTGTTTTTGTTCAGGTAGTGAAACACCAACGCAGAGGAGAAAAGAATCCAAGGAGTCATATAAGCAGATGCTTTTACATTTGTAGACTATATTCCTCGTGATATTAATTTGGTACAATACCAGTTAAAAGAACATCAAGCTATAGTTCTGTCTTCTGACTGCTGCTTAATGTGTTTAGTACCTGGCCCACAACAGTGAAGAGATCCACACGGACACGGCCAGATGACCTCCTTGAAGCTGAAATCATTAATTAAAATGTTTAAATCATCAAAATAAGTAAAAGTAGATGTGAAATGTGGCTATACATGTGCAATCACGGGGCTCATAGCTAATGATATGCAGATTGCCGCAGAGGCTGTTAGTGCGAGGCGCTGCACTCTGGCAGCTGACGTGCTGAAAAGCCGCATGTGGCCATGGTGAACCGGTCATGGGGATGTTGGCTGGTGGCTCCTGGTGTGAAGGGAGGCAGACTCACCGGGACCTCGTTTTCTGAGGGTTTGGGCTGTGCTGGCCGCAGAGGTGAGCTACCTTAGAGTAGAGGTTGACCCTTCCTGTGGGAACTTTTTACTTGGTGTTTAACTTAATGTCAACCTTGGTTCATTTTTTAGGGCATGCTGTCTGATGTGGGCATTTGTGGCTCAGGAGGCCAGGCTAGATCTGTCAAGGCCTTTGGTTTTGTCTCACAGTCTTGTCTTAACCATAGGTGGGTGTTACATGGCTATAAAATCCACTCTGTAGTATTGTTTGCTTGAACAGATGTTACATTGGCTTTAGAGCTGTAATTATTCTTTATTTATGTCTGGTTGCTTGAAACTGGCATTTAAAGAATGACAGGTTCTGGGGTAATACAGAAATGTGGGGGGTTTGAATTACATACAGTATGTTAAGTTAATGTGAGGAGAATAATCCACATTGTAAAAATCAGAGAATCCTTCCTAGACTGACAGTAATATACACTTTTTTTTTAGGCTTTCAGTGTAGCAATGCAAGACTTTCAAGTGGAAAATTGTTAATTTACTATAATGAATTGAAATGTGAAAAAACAAATATTTAGTTAATTGCCTCATAAATCTGTCTGTTACTATCAGTGGAATTAAATTGATAAACAGTTCTTTAAAATTAATTTCCACACGGCAATGTGCAGTTTTTATTTTATTCAAACCCCATTAGGTATTTGTATGAAAGAAAACATAAATTTGTATTTCTGTCACATTAAAGAGTGTGTGTGACAAAACGCACATTTCCTACCGTGGGTACTGAGGTTGTAATACATTTGGCATAATGAGGAGAGCTCAACGTTAGTTATTTTAAAAGGCAGTACCAGCTGAAGAGTGGAAGTACATCATACTTTTATGATTGTATCAAGTTGCTTTACTGTCAATAAAGCTTAACTCAGTCCTTTTGCTGTTGAGATCAGAGGACTGTGGACATCACGCTTGAAGGTCACATGCAGTTTTGGGCTGTTGCCGATGCTGAAAATGCTTCAGGAGGCTGGGGGAAGGCGGGCTCTCTCAGAGGCACTATGAGGCTTATTTCTGGTCACGGCCAGGATGGGAGTTCATGGTGAGAGGAGGAGGTTGGTGTTTTATGTTACCAGGCCTGTATTGCCTCCGCAGCTATAACTTTTCCCAGTTTCAAGCCTGCTGCAATAGCACTTGCGAGCCCTTGGTATGAAAGGAGGTGGGAAGATGAGTGCTCTTGTACTTTAATCACCTAATGACATTATGCCCTGTGCAGTACCAGTTTGTCCAAGTAAGTGGGGTACTACACAAAAGTAAGTAATTTGATATACTCCATCCTTCCAGCTAACGTAGTAAGAACATCCTTGCTGACCTCTCCTAGTGACATTCAGCAGGAGAAAACTTGTCTCACGGTGTATGTCCCCATGTTCTTGAAACGCACATAAAGATAATTCCTTCTTGCTGTACTGTATTGTTAGATAGTCTTAAATTTCGACTTGATGGTTGTCATCTCAGGGTTTAGTGGTGAATGGATGGTTGCAAGTTACAGTTGGTCTTATGGTGAAGTTTAGTGTCTGCGAGTCAGGACACCTCAGTTTTCTTCCCACAGCCATCTCTTACTTGAATGACTGTCATCAGCTCACTTAAACTTTCATTCCATCAGTTGTTTTGCTTGACAGTGGTTGCTCCTTCCCAGAGATGTAATCAGGCATGAGTTGCTCTGATTCATAAAGAGCTTTGAGATCCCCCTAAGGAGCCAGCTAGAGGGACAAAATACTAGTAGTAACAGTGACCTATAAGACTTCAGAGGAAGGAGGTTGCAAACACATTTTCATTTAGCTTTAATAATACTTTAATAATCAAAAGAAGAAATGTAATGTTTAATATTTAAACAAAATTGCATTCACTTTCTTCTCATGTTAAGTGAGTATTAAAGCAGGATGGAAGCTAGTTTACATATTTTTACACTAGACTATTCTATTATTAAATACTGAAATGTGCTGGAGTTGGCCGGCCTCCAATGAATATGACTCAACTTACATTGTATTTTAATATTTGCATGTTACGTAGTATAATATTTCTATTAGACAAATCGTTGATGGTAAGGAGTTTAAAAAGGATGCACTTTTATTAAATAACACATTGTGTTCATGTTATGAAAGTAAGTGATATTCATTTGCTGATTGACAGCAGAAGGGACAAAAATATAAAGGGTTTAGAGTGTAAACAATTATTATTCAGGATGGAGTAATCTATGTGTCTGGTCTTGAAAATGCATGGTATAGTTAGTGCCTGAGATTCTCCAGAGACTGACAAATACAGAAGCTTCCTGTATGATTGTCTGTAATAAGTGTAGGTGCCCCTCAAAATACATGTGAATTCTTTTCTCACATATTCAATAAAATACATACAATCTTGTTGAATCAGTCGGGTTTTCAGACCTGAGTGAGTGGTAAACTTAGTTTGAGATAAGGCGATAGTTTTCAGATGGGTCGTGAAACTCCTTGCTGAAGAGTATTCCCTTTGAGAGCATTCTTTGGAGAAAAGTCTTCTAGAGGTGTTAAATACAAAGATACCAGGTCCTTTGTACTTAACACAGGGCTTCATGTGCCAAAAATTTCTCAGGGCAGTGTCAGTATTTTGGGGAGTGCTTTGTTCTAAGGCCTTTACTGGGAATTTGCTGTTGGCTGTTGTCAGAGGCAGGATGGGATAAACAGAGCTTTGGTCTTACTTTCTTCTGGGAATTTGGCCTTAAATGGCTGTGTTTTCTTCATTGTGATATTTCTGTCATTCATGAAGTCAGTTATACATGTGAGATTTCAGATACATTCAAAACATAATTGGGGAAACAGGTATCGTTTCTGTTTGGCTCTGGAAGCTGCAGTACTGGGATAATCATTCGCATCACATGCCTTAAAAATTGAAATTATTTCAGACTTGAGGTTGTAGTTTTTGCCAGTCTAAAGGGGCGAAATAATTTTACAAATTGTTTAAATGCTCATTTTTAGATTTCAAATGCTGGGGCACATTTCAAACTTGTGTCAGTAACACTTACCACCATATCCCTGATAGCACAGCGTTCCTATGTTGAGTTAAATTTAAGGGTGTTTTTTTTCTTTTGTTTTGTTTTGTTTTTTCAGGGAGCATGGTGCATTTGCTTTACTTTTTGTCAGTGACAAGGTCTGTGATCTGCTGCCTGGTGGGGGGGTGTGTGTCAGTACTTACTGTGCGATAGGGGCAAATCTGATTATCCCTGGTCAGTTGTTTGAGACATCATGTGTACAGTCCATAACACCACTAAAAAAAAAATTAAAATTGCCCTTTAGCTCAAAGTGATAATGGCCTCTGGGGTAGATTGGGAAGCTTATTTGGTATCTCACTTGTTTTGTTTTGTTTGTTTGTTTGTTCGTTTGGTTTTGGTTTTGTTTTTTCTTTAAGATTACATTATTGTAAATAATGACCACAGAAGCTTTGTAGCTCTGGCATGTTCTGGTTTTTAAACTTTTGGCAGTGGATAAAAAACTTCGGTTGGCATGAGGAATATAACAGAAAAGCTAGTTTATACCAATAAGTTGCTGCTGCTTAGAGCTGGCTGTGTTGAGACCTGGCTCTTTTGTCATTATTAAATGGCTAGGTCCCATCCAACCCTCATTGAATTCGCCGGGAAAATTGCCAGTAGCATCAGCTGAAGTTGAACTATGCCCTCAGAGAGGATGTAGACCTCAGCAATGCTGATGAACTTTGTGCTGCTTTGGTTAAATTATTTTGTCATACTTTATGCTGTGTTTATAAATGAGGAATAAACATTGTATGTTTGTTGAAGACATGAGGGCTATTTGTTATAGATTATCTTTCTCACTATAAGCCAGTGATGATGATGATGATAATCCATTGACCTGCTGACTCTGAATCTATTAAAGAAAAATAAGTACAAAATATTATTATTCTGTCCTAAGCTGTGTGTAACAGGCACCTTGTTGCTGTGAAGCTTTTTAAGGTCTAATGGAAGAAGGCTTAAAATTTGGAGTTTGAAACGTTCTAGGTTCTTTCCAAGCTGATGTCCATTAAATCTCATGAAGCTTCCAAATTATCGCCTCTCCTACAATGTGCCTGTGCCCAAGATGGGCATTATATTTTACAACAGTGCTGAAAAGGGGATGCATGCTTACTTGAATTTGAAACAAGAGCACCTTGCATTTATTTGATTATCTCTTTCCTTTCCAGTAGATATTACTATAACAAATGGAGGCAGTTATGTAGGGTTTCAACTGAGAGAAGAATAATTTATTTAGAAAATTTCTCTAGCCAAACAATCAATTCAATTACGTTAGTCTTATGGTACTATTTTTCTATGCATTGGGGTCTGAATCAGTCTGTATGTGTGCACTGCACAGAGAGGCCTGCCTGCACTTCTCCTTCAGTCTAAAATTGATGAATGAAATAGTCATCCGACTGAATTCTTAATTTTCCTGTGGTGATATTCTTCAGCACACGTTAAGTTTAAGAACATGTGGTTAAAGAGCTGCACAGCGTGTGAAAATGCTCAAGGGAGTAGAGGTGCCTGTTAGTAAATGAATGCATTTATTAGAGCTGTAGGAGTAGCATGGAAGCAATTCTGTGATAAAATACTCAAGCAGTTGAGTGTGCTGATTCATCTGTCTCCAAAAGGTTGTGTTAATCAATGATTGCTTTGTAATGTTTTTTAAAAGGCTAGATTTATTTCTGTTAGCTGTCTATTGCATATCATTGCCAATATTTCAACAAAATACAAATGCGTGGACTTCATTTTTAAGAAAGCATCCTACAGGCGCCAAGGAGAGTTTTGAGTAGCGGCATTAAAGAAAAATTTTAGTTACAAATATGAAGAAAAGTAAAGACAAAAGTAGAGTTCCAAAATGGTTTTCAGCTCAGATGTAAGAATGCAGTCTGTATATGTTGTGATAATAAAACAAATATTTTGCGTTTCCATGTATTAAAATATATTTTAATCTTTGAAAATGGTACATGTACAAAAGGAAACTTGGACATTTTCAAGAAATTTTTCATAATTGTAGGTATCCAGGTGAAGGAAAACCAGACTGTAACAAGCATTGTCAGAAGATCTGTTATTGCATCAAGTTAGTGTTATGCCTTGGGGGTAATATATGTACAGATACACACTTTGTAGCAGTACTACACCATGTTTGCTGTTGATGTGTATAAAGAAAAATGCACAGCATGCAACTAAACAGAACTATATTCAGCTGTAACCCAGTAATACGTAGAATGCGGATGCTGATGAGCATGTGGAGTATGATGGCAGCTAGGAAGCCATTGGGAGATATGGTGTGAGATATGTTTGAATTACAGTATAGACTTTGGGAAAGACTTAATGGCTTCATTGCCATCAGTGAATTCTGAAGAAACTTCAAATTCCAGGAGAGATCAACAGAATTAAAAAAAAATAAATAAATAAAAGAAGAAGCTGTCATATCCTGTTAACCTCATAAGGGCAATGAAATTCAGAATGTAGGTTGAAACTCCTTTCCTGTTCAACCTCTTTGTAGTAATCAGGGTCCCCTTACAGTCACAGCACATTACCCAGCTAATAAAGCTTCCTAATCCAGCTCCTTGTCCTGAATGTAATTAATTTTTTGCCAAAAATGCTCACAAATTTCACATTTATGGAAGTTTGTTACAGTTTATCACTGGTTTAGTGTAAGTCATAACTAGAATACTGGATTCCAGGTGTTTCTGGGAAGTTGATGTTGATGCCTTAATGTGCACTCTGTTACTGAAAGAAAAAAATGACAACAAAAATAACGCTGTAATTTTGTCTTAACTAGTTCTTTTATTTACGTATGAGATGTTTACTCTTAGAAATATTACATGTTGGAAAGCTATTGTATGTGACTGATGTTCTAATGACTATTTGGCTTTTAATGTCCTTTTGGAGCTGTTGTTACAACCATTTTTCTCTTCAGTTTTCTTTTTTTTTCCTCTTTTCCTTCAGTTTTGCTTTTGTTTCTCATACTGCAAATTTGAACTGACAAGAAGACTGTAATAGGACTCCAAAACATACCTTGAACACACATTGTTAACGAAATTACAATTGCTGATGTC